GGCTAAACAGCCGAGGCTCTAAATCAGACAGACCTAGGTTTAAATGTCTACTCCACCATTTATTAGCACAGTGTGAGTATACAGTGTTTAGCAATTATTTGTTGAATTAATAAAGGTGACCTTGAGAAAGTCACTTATCCTCTCTGAGCCTTAGTTTCCCCATTTGTAAGATAAAATAGTAGCTTCTATTCTTATTACATCCCCTGTGTTGTCTCTCTTCACATCTGCATAAGTTTGCTGTCCCAGTTCCCCAACTTTGCATTATAGAGGATGCCATGCTAAGCCTTCACCATAAAGAGTCAGAAAGGGTGGATGTGCACAAGGCCTTTCTCTTCTTTCACGTCTTTCTCCTCTCCCTACTTTCCTCCTCCTCCTCCTCACCTCCTGGCCCTATTTGTTTCCTTTTCTATCAGAGGCAAACTCAGGATACAGTTCTGGGAACTCAGAGCAAGTGTAGAAACATCCAATTACAGCTCCAACACATACTCACAAATGTGCAACTCACCTCCTACCACACACATACATAGAGTACTGGGCCTGGGCTACAGCATGAAGCACTGTGCCCCCTGAGGACTCCTACTTGATTCAGACATCATCAGTACCAGAGACCTAGAAAAACTCACACTTCTACCCATGTGTGACTATGCAGAGCCAATCAGGTTTAGGGAGCTAGCCTTCTCTGTGGACTGATAACATCAGCACTGTTCCAACACTGGAAGGCTAACTATGAGCCAATTTCTTTGGAGTAAAATCAACCAGAGGAAAGGAAAACAAGTTTGAGCACATGAAGATGGTGTCAGGATGATTTTACTTACAGTAATGGCCATGAACTAGGCAGAGTCATCCACTCTGCAACCCATAATTCATTGTGAATATGATACATATCTTCTTTTTATTTCTTATTTTTTAAAATAATTTAATAATTTATTATTGTTGAGAATATACATAGCAGAACATGCACCAATTCAACAGTTTCTTCATGTACATTTCTTCATGTACATTTCTTCATGTACATTCAGTGACATTGATTACATTCTTCGAGTTGTAACCATTCTCACCCTCCTTTTCTGAGTTGTCCCTCCCCCATTAACATAAACTTACTGCCCCCTAAGGTGATACATATTTTCAAGAGAGCTTGCTGGCAGGGAGGAAAAAAAAAAAAAAAAAGAAGCTATTTGTGGAAGCAAAAGAGAGTTTTTCTCTGTATGAAGCTAACAACTTGAATTGACTTTCCATGGTTGCATTTTGTCTCCCCCCAACCCCTCTTGAAAAGACCAATGAATAGTTAAGATTGGATAAGATAAGGTCTAAATTTGCTTGTTATTCAGTCATTCTGTAGCATGTGGAATGCATCTTCTATAAGATCAGCCTTCTCAGGTTTGATTTCTAATAGGTTAAAATCCCATCTATTGTGCTTCTAAAGGGATGTGGTATTCAAAGGCTGAACAAATTCAACTAGAAACACTGGCTAAACTCCCTCTTACAGAGTGGAACTGAATCCATCCACTCCCTTATTGCCATCTCACCTCCCCAAATCAATTTGAATCTCTCTTTTTTTTTTTCCTTTTCTCTCATTCTTTTTTTTTTTTTTTTTTTTTTTTAATGAGGGGGTTGTATAGTGAGAAATGGCTAGCTTTGCTGGGGTTTTTATACATAGGAACAAATGACAGTCTTGTAGACAAGTACAGGAAAATCTTTCAAAATGCAGAAAATTCAACAGTCTTTTCCACACTGACCATTGTCATGGCAACACATTATCTGATGGCAGAAGCGTCAACAGGCTGGAGGAGCACAGTTCAGTATAGCAGGTTAGCCTGACCATTTTTAGTAACATTTGGACTTCTTTCTAGCCTCATTTCTTCAGGTTTAACTGAATTTCTTTCAGGTTCTGGACTCGTTGTGCTCTGTTAATTTGCATGGCTAGAATGTAATATTTTGTCAATATGAAAGAGCTGGAAATGTAAAGTCAGAACACTTCTAATATTCTACAGCCACTGTTCTTGCTATCTGCTCTCCCTAGCCCCTCCCCATACACTCTTTGCTACTTAGTTTTTCCTCTTCTCATCAATTCTTTCTTATACACAGCATTACTTCCCCCATCTAACAACTGCAACTCATTTATCAATCCCAGTACTTTCACCATATTCTTTTTATTTTTTCTCTATTCTCATTTTAACATACAACATCTAGAATCTTAGCGTTGAAAGGAATCTTAAAAGTAATTTAGTACAATCACCCTCCCCCAATGCAAAATCCCCTCTACAATATGGCTGCCAGTGATTGTCTAGCTTTTCCTTGTGTATCTCCAGAGACAGAGACTGCATGCCCTCCCAAGGAGCCAGTTCCACTTTGTTGTTGCTGTTGTTGTTATTTGCCGTTGAGTCAGACCCAACTCATAGTAACCCCTCCTTGGGTTTCCAAGGGAGTATCACAACGGAAGTAGATTGCCCAACCTTCCTTTTGAGGAGTGGCTGCTGGGTTTGAACCGCCAGCCTTCTGGTTAGCAGTCAAGTGCCTTAGGCATTACACTAATTGTTAGAAAATTCTGCCTTCTATTTTTATTGAATGAAAATCTGTCCTTTCAGAATATCCACCATGGGTCCTAACTCTGTCCCCTGGGGCCGCAGAGACTCTTTACTCCTGCTGCTCTGTGGCAGCCTTTCAGAGGTATGAAGTTCAGACTACACCTCCCTGACCCTTCTCCAAAAAGTCCCAACTCCTCCAAACAGCTGTCTTGGAGTATGGGCTCCTGTCCTCCCTCCATCCCCACTGACCTTCTTGAACATACTCCTAATTTGTTTAGAGCCATTTATAGGTGAGGTCCACACTGCATCAGCATCTCTGGAGGGCACCTTGCCCTGGTGACTCACACTGAGCTCTGTATTGACAATAATTGCTAACTCTCTTTAAGACAAAATGCTGCTAAGCCATGTCTTCCCATCATGTATTTGTCCAGCTGCTTTTTAGGATCCAAATCCTGGCCCATACGTTTTTTCCCTGTTTAATTTCATTGTAGTGTAAGCAGAATATTGCTTTAGTCTGTTATGATCTTTAAAAATCTTGACTTAAATGTAACTTACATGTCCTCTAATATCTTCCTTTTTTTAAAAAATTTACCAACTCTCATCCTAGTCTCTTATCTCAAATCTTTTTAAAATTTATTCCTCTTTCGAGTTTCTTACTTTCCTAGTTGTCTTCCCTTTGAATTACTTTCCATATGTCTTCTCTTGCTTGTCATCTCCATTTCCTCAATAGCAAGATGTCACTACTCTCTGGAAGGTATATGTCTGGGTGCACGTTCAGGAAAGCATGAGGGCACACAGATATCTATCTGCACATATGTTGTTGTTGTTATGTGCCGTCGAGTCGGACCCGACTCATAGCGACCCCTCCTTAGGTTGCTGAGGCAGTATCACTACGGAAGTAGATTGCCCAATCTTCCTTCTCATCTGCACATATGTAGGTATTATTAAGCAGCTGGAGAAGCTTGTTTAGTTTCTCGGTTTTGATTGCTTTTTCTGTGTTTTACCAGGATTTAGAGTCTGGATAGGGGGAAATGGCACAGTTGGAGAAAGAGGGGGAAGGAAAGTTGGTTCAGCACTGGTCCCAAGGGAAAGAGGAAACATTTCCTTGGTCTGAGAGGTGAAGGAGGACAGTAGGGTAGAATATCTGTGGTTAATCAGGGCTGTAATACTGAGGGAAGGAATAGAGAAGGGCCAGGAATAGAAGGACCCTGAGGCTTTAAGGGTTGGACAAAGGAGGAGGATTTTGTTAGGAAGTAAGGACTTGTGGAGTTGGTAGACATTGAAAGGGCAGAGGGAGGTGGCTTGAAATCATAGGGTCAGGAGAAGGCTAAGGGCTATCGGATACCTTAGAAGGGGCACTAAGCCTCCTTGTGTGCATAACCTTAAAGTCTACAGCTAATTAACTTAGAAAATTTTCTCTGGCCAATGGATCCTGGCATGTGGAGTCCCTGCCTATGGACTTTGCTGTTGTCATAGAATGGGCTCTGCTAGAGGATGTGAGCCTTAGCAAAGATCCACAAGATACAATGTATTCCCCCAGACTAACTTCAGGTTAGAACAGACCTCCCTTTCATGTTGAATTCTCTTCTAACAAGGAAATCAAAGAGGAGAATTGGTGCTATCTTGGACATTTTATAAATAAACACTGGAGTTTTACTCTCCAGGATGGGCAGTATGATACCGAAGACTACTTAACTGTGTAAATAATTATACACACATACATACAAATTCAATTAAACAGGAAAATGAGTGCCAAACATACTTAAAAATAATGGTAGATGAAGTGAGTTGAATTGTAAAGCAGCAGCTGGGTTGTGGTGTAGGGTGGGGGTGGGGTTCTACTGGAAAGCTGAGGACAGTTTCCCCAAATAGCTAGTGGATAGTGTGATCAAGACAACAGTGACCTGATGACTGCCATTTTCCCTCTACCTAGAATAATTCTAGGCCAGCCTTAGGGAGGAGAAGAAGGATAAGGCAGCAGCCTCATTTCCAGTGCTCTGGATGAGACTGGAGAATCCACTCCCAAGGGTTTCAGAAACCCTGACTATTCATTGTAGCATGGCAGTCTCTCAAGGCTCTACTGGATCAAGGAACCACACTGAAATAGAAGGTCTGGGAGTACTCGCCACCCACCCCAAGCATGACTTGACTTAAACTTCTCTCATCTTAAAGAGGGTTTTATTGATGACCTTTTGAAAGAAAAAGGGATTTTAGGGTATACCTTAAAACTGGTTTTCCACTGGTGTGTCTACAGCTGAGCCTTTTGTCCTTCTGAAGGTGACATTAGCCAGCCAAATGACAATTATAACCAGAATGGCCAGTGAGGAATTCTAACTAAAAGTTGTTAGGTCAAGAAAAGGTTTCCCTCCCAAGTCAGTAAAACAATTATCCATCAAAGTCAAATTGTATTTGGGGAAGCCCCCACTGATGGGCTGGGTAGAATAAGGAAGGTAGGACTCAAGGGATAGTGCTCACCTTTGATACAGTTGAGGATTTGCTGGACTCGGTGGGGCTCATTGCGGTCTGGTCGGCAGCTTGGCGTGATTTCCAGCACATAATCAGGACCATATGCTGTGAAAAACTGGAAGGAAAAGAGAAAAGCCAAAACACTAACTAAACCACATAAAATCTCTAAACCAAGCTGTATACAAACATAACAATCAAAAGAACTCACCATTACCAACAAGGTGAAGGAGGCCTAGCTGGGCAGGGGAGGATGAGACAGCAGGAAGCCCGGTCCTTGTGGCACCACCTCCTTGTTCAAAGGCTTTCATGACAACCCATTGCTAAATTCTTAATTTGTTGTTCAAGGTTCTTCCTGCTTAAGTCTCAGCTTTCCCTTTAGCCTTAGTTCCTGCTGTTCTCCTGCTATCTAGCCACACTAGACTGTGTTGTGCTCCTCAAAATCATACCATGCTGTCTCCTCTTAGGATCGTTGGCTCTTTTCTTGGGCCTGCAAAGGCCCTCTCCTAATTCCTGCTGCCTGTGTAAAACCTCCCCATCCTTCCAGGCTTAGTTCAAATATGAGCTGTCCCTCATTCTCTACCAACCCACAGAAACATTCTGGTGGTAGCTCTCTTATGGCCCTTGTTCAACAAATAGCATTTCCCTAAATATCACATGCAGGTCACTGCAATCGCTGCTGTGGGGGCTAGAAAGATGGACAAGACCCCCCCCCCCGCCTGCAGCCTTTGATGTGTTCACAGGACTTTTTGCATTGCCTGGAGTTTTCAATATTGACCTGATCTCTTATTGGATTATCAACTCCTTGGAGGCAGACAGCACCTGTGTTTTATTCATCTTCTTGGTCCTCACAGGTCATGGCAGCTACTTAATAGTTTTTGTGCACTTGAATTCTTTGTCCCAGGAATGTCAAACTAGCCTAGTTTCTCTACTTTATTTTTTCCTTCTTAAAAGCAGAGTTTGTTTTTAAATTCAGGGACGCAAAGGCTTATGGATTCTATTTTTAGCTCACTAGATGATTTCTTGTAACCTCTGGTAAGTCATAATATCTGATTCAGCTTCTCTAGTAGGGCTTCCTTGGGGAAAGACACTCTATAACAAAGGGAGTCATTCAATTGGGATGATGAGTCTTTGAATGGTAAATATACAACGTGACTATTTTTAATTTTTAACAGAAATGATATCTGTGTACAATCTCTGGTGAGAGAGTATATGTTCTTTAACATTATGTGCTGTCAATAGTGACACTATTGGATAGTAAGTAAACAGGGAAATTAAAAAACCACAGGAAAAAATGGCATAGAGGCTAAGAAAAAGGGATGTTAACATGTGCCATGAATTTTGGGCCATTTGATGCCTGTTGTTGTTAGGTGCTGTCAAGTTGGCTGTGCCTCATAGAGACACCATGTACAACAGAACAAAACATTGCCCAGTCCTGCACCAGCCTCACAATCCTTGCTATTCCTGAGCCCGTCATTGCAGCCACTGTGTTAATCTATCTTGTTGAGGGTCTTACCCTTTTTTTGCTGACCCTCCACTTTAAACCAAAACCAAAGAAACTCACTGTCATTGAGTTGATTCTGACTCATAGTGACCCCCTTTGGGTTTCTGAAGTAGTAAATTTTTACAGAAGTAGATTGCCCAGTCTTCCTTCTGCAGAGTGGCTGCTGGATTTGAACTGCCCACCTTCTGGTTAGCAGTCAAATGCCTTAGGCACTGTACCACCAGAGCTCCTTTACTAAGCATGGAATGGTCCCCTCTGACAACATGACCAAAATGGGTGATATGAAGTCTGGCCATTCTTGCTTCCAATGAGCCTTCCAGCTGCACTTCATCCAGGACAGATTAGTTAATTCTTCTGGCAAGTCCATGATACTTTCAATATTCTTTGCCAACACCACAACTCAAAAGCATAAATTCTTCTTTGACCTTCCTTATTCACTGTTCAGCTTTCACATGCATACGACGTGATTGAAAATACCATGGCTTGGGTTCAGCACACCTTAGTCTTCAAAGAGACATCTTTGCTCTTTAGCACTTTAAAGAGGTCTTTTGCAGTAGGTTTGCCCAGTGAAATGCGACCTTTGATTTCTTGACTGCTGCTTCCATTGGTGTTAATTGGGAACTAAGTAATATGAAATCTTTGACAACTTCAATATTTTCTCCATTTATCATGATGCTGCTTATTGATCTGTTATGAGGATTTTAGTTTTCTTTATGTTGAAGTGTAATCCATACAGCAGACTGTAGTCTTTAATCTTCATCAGTAAGTGCTTCAAGTCATCTTCACTTTCATCAAGCAAAGTTGGGTAATCTGCATATCATAGGTTGTTAATGAGTCTTCCTCCAATCCTGATGCCATATTCTTCATGTAGTCCAGCTTCTCAGATTATTTGCTCTGCATACAGATTGAATAAGTATGGTGAAAGGATACAACCCTAACACACTCCCTTCCTGATTTTAAACCATGCAGTATCTCCTTATTCTGTATGAATGACAACCTTCTGGTCTATGTACGGGTTCCTGATGAGTACAATTAAGTGTTCTGCAATTCCCATTCTTCTCAATGTTATCCATAATTTGTTATGATCCCCACAGTCAAATGCTTTTGCATAGTCAATAAAACACAAGTAAATAGCTTCCTAGTATTCTTTGCTTTCAGCCAAGATCCATCTGACCTCAGCAATAATATCCCTCATTCCACATCCTCTTCTGAATCTAGCTTGCATTTCTGGAAGTTTCCTGTCAATATATTGTGGCAACCATTTTTAAATTACCTTCAGCAAGGTTTTACTTGTGTGTGAAATTAATTACATTGTTCGATAATTTTCACATTGTTGGATCACCTTTCTTTGAAATGGGTATCAATATGGATCTTTTCCAGTTGGTTGTTCAGGTGGCTGTCTTCCAAATATCTTGGCATAGACCAGTAAGTGCTTCCAGGGCTGCATCTGCTTGTTGAAACATTTCAGTGATTATTCCATCAATTCCTGGAGCCTTGTTTTTCACCAATTCTTTCAGTGCAGCTTCAACTTCCTTCTTCAATGCCATCAGTTCTTGA